ATTACCGTCTACGTGTGAGTTGTCCGTTGTATTCTACAAACATAATCATCGTATAAAAACATTACCGTCTACGTGTGAGTTGTATGTTGTATTCTACATACATAATCATCGTATAAAACATTACCGTCTACGTGTGAGTTATGTTGTATTCTACATACATAATCATCATATAAAAACATTACCGTCTACGTGTGAGTTATGTTGTATTCTACATACATAATCATCATATAAAAACATTACCGTCTACGTGTGAGTGGTCTGTTGTATTCTACATACATAATCATCATATAAAAACATTACCGTCTACGTGTGAGTTATGTTGTATTCTACATACATACTCATCGTATAAAAACATTACCGTCTACGTGTGAGTTGTCTGTTGTATTTTACAAACATAATCATCGTATAAAAATATTGCCGTCTACGTTTGAGTTGTCCGTTGTATTCTACATACATAATCATCGTATAAAACATTACCGTCTACGTGTGAGTTATGTTGTATTCTACATACATAATCATCGTATAAAACATTACCGCCTACATGTGAGTTATGTTGTATTCTACATACATAATCATCATATAAAACATTATTGTCTACGTGTGAGTTATGTTGTATTCTACATACATAATCATCATATAAAAACATTACCGTCTACGTGTGAGTGATCTGTTGTATTCTACATACATAATCATTATATAAAAACATTACTGTCTACGTGTGACTTATGTTGTATTCTTCATACATAATCATCATATAAAAACATTACCGTCTACGTGTGAGTTATGTTGTATTCTACATACATAATCATCGTATAAAACATTACCGTTTACGTGTGATTTATGTTGTATTCTACATACATAATCATCATATAAAAACATTACCGTCTACGTGTGAGTGGTCTGTTGTATTCTACATACATAATCATCATATAAAAACATTACCGTCTACTTGTGACTTATGTTGTATTCTTCATACATAATCATCATATAAAAACATTACCGTCTACGTGTGACTTATGTTGTATTCTACATACATAATCATCATATAAAAACATTACCGTCTACGTGTGAGTTGTCCGTTGTATTCTACAAACATAATCATCGTATAAAAACATTACCGTCTACGTGTGAGTTGTATGTTGTATTCTACATACATAATCATCGTATAAAACATTACCGTCTACGTGTGAGTTATGTTGTATTCTACATACATAATCATCATATAAAAACATTACCGTCTACGTGTGAGTTATGTTGTATTCTACATACATAATCATCATATAAAAACATTACCGTCTACGTGTGAGTGGTCTGTTGTATTCTACATACATAATCATCATATAAAAACATTACCGTCTACTTGTGACTTATGTTGTATTCTTCATACATAATCATCATATAAAAACATTACCGTCTACGTGTGACTTATGTTGTATTCTACATACATAATCATCATATAAAAACATTACCGTCTACATGTGAGTTATGTTGTATTCGACATACATAATCATCGTATATAAACATTACATATAGTAACCTCCTCTATAATCTTATGTTTTGGCTTAATAAAGTTAAAAGATTTTAAGAAAATAATGATAAGTAAAAAGAACAAAATAATATTAGTAAAAAAATCTTAAATTGAAAGATTTAAGAAAATATTGATAAGTAAGGAAAAAAAAAAGAATAATAATAAATACAAAATATTGAAATTGACAATTTTTTATATTTTTATAGAAGTGTGCAAAAAATGTTTTACTACATATGACCTTGTCATAGTTTCAGGGTAGTCTCTGATTTTACTATCCATTAAAAGCATTTTCTGCATGTCACTTAAGGAGTAATCTGCTATATAGATCAGATGCATTACCATAATCAGGTAATAAAATATCATAAAAGGGAGATAATTGTAGTATAATAGCTTACCCTAGATGTGATCTTTTACCTAATATTTTAATGCTTTTAAAATGTTTTGCCATTGACACCTTTAGTCTCATATTTTATAGTAACAAGACATTATCATAATTTATTAAATATCATACTTGAATCAAACTTACGACTTCATAATATTTATTACTGAAAGCCACAGAAGTTTAGAATTTCTGATTGTTGGAATTGATAGGACAAGTAAGGGATAAAATAACATTTAATGATATTAAAAAAAAGGTGTTAGTAATTGAATGATTATATGCGATAATTAAAAAAATAAAAGTCACGTTATAAGGGTATGGACGTTTAACTTGGAAAAAGGTCGCCCCCTTTTATGATCTTCAAGATATATATTTTTATCTATAATATTGTCATTCATCATAATTATCCGAAATTGAAATCAACAAACCCCAGACAGAGTGTCATAAAGAGAAAGTCAATGTACTGATGAAATAAAGTATTGACCGTAGATCTGATACAGGACAATTCAATAGTCATAAAGGACTATCCTTACATTCATGTCTCCACTCTAGTTATATTTAACAAGGTGTTAGATTTTTGTCTGCATTATCATTTATAAACGTTCACTGCGCACAAATGTTCTGAATACATTCCAATCAGGTACGTTTGATACAAAAACTCTGGAAAGTACATGGCGCATAGGTGCTTTTATGTTGATTTTAAATGTGTAGAAAATTAAAGAAAATATGTATATTACAAAGCGACTATACAAAGAAAAAAATAGCACTGGGTGTTGGAGATGATTGATTTTATTTTTGGTGTTTTAACACCACTTTAAAGCACCTCTTTTGGGCTATTTCGTGGCGGCCAGTTTTTATTGGTGGAGGAAGCCGGAGTACCCGGAGAAAACCACCGATCTTCGATGGAAAACTGACAATCCTAGTCAATTAAGATTGGAGTCGAGTGCACCCGCACGAGCGGGGTTCGAACTAACAACCCCAGTGTTGACTGGCTAGTGATTACAGTAGTAACTACTTTTTTTTTTTATCTTTATCAGTAGTAACTACTTAGACCACTCGGCCACCGAGGCCCCCGGTGTTGGAGATGAATATATGCCTTATATGCCTTATATGACATGTACTAGTACTAAATTAGCATTTTAACATGAAGCATAGTTTAAAAGTGTTACCTTGCATACCTGTCATAACGCAATTTATTCCCATTAAATGGATTCAAAGATTCATACATCTTTTGATTATCAACGAAATTCTTAAGAGCCATTCTCTGTAAGCATCAAAATTTCTGATATAGGGTGGGAAAGTGAGGACCTCAAATTTCAATGAAACTTGGTAGTTAATACTCATATGTCACCCTTGTTCGAAATTTGGTATAATATTGATACACAGAGTTGCGGTTGCCATGGTTACCATACATCACCAAATAAGGCTTCTACAAGAGTCTTTCAATCAGTGAAATTACCGTTTTCTTTGCATGTAAAACATAAAGAATACTGTTCTGAAGTCATATTCTTTATTTGTCATCATGAAGACAATGATCTAGGCATATAATAACAATAAATAACATAATAAAAAAAAGTTGCTATCACAGTTTTTTTATGCTGCCAAAAACCTTGATTTTGACTTTTTTTGAATTTCTTGAAAATTGTATTTTTTACCAATTTTAATAATAGACTGTGAAAAAATGCACCGACAGATGTTCTTAATATAATGCATATATAATGCATAAAGCATAAAGTCCAAAACATCAAAAAATTGGAATAGTGTTATTTCTCTAAAAAAAAAAAAATGCGGTGCCATGGCAATGAATGAAAATATCTAAAAAAAAAAAATGTTTGTGAAATTTGCAAATTTTAAGTTATAAATGAAGAAAATTTAGTTCAATTGGATCTAAATACTGATTTAACACTATTTGAAGAGATAAATGTCAATTTAAGATTGTGGTAACCATAGTAACCATTTATATGACCCTAAGCAAAAAAAAAAAAAAATCCCCAAAAATATGTATTTTATAGCTACTGCATACAAAGATTTACTCCGGTATCCTTTCAAAAAGCACATATCAAACAAAAGGGTGTTGTGAAGGTTACCATGTCAGTGAAGATTAAGACCTAGTCAAATATCAAGAGGCTGTAAATTACAGTTTTGTGGTAAAATTAGGAATTTTCAGTGTAAATTTAGTCTGAACCTGTGAAAATGAATACATGGTGCAGCTCACTTCACTTAAACTTTGAAATAATATACTACAGCCTTGCACTGATGTTAAAACACTGTGCAAACAAAACACAAGTCATTCTCTGTTTTTGGTTGGAAATATCATAGGAAATCCAAATCTCACTATTAATTTAAGCAAGAACAAGAATGTGTCAATCCTCCACAGATGCCCCATGCGCACTATCATTTTCTATGTTCAGTTGACAGTGAAATTGGGGTCAAAAATCTAAATTGGCATTTAGACATATTAAATTAGAAAGATCATATCATAGGGAACATGTGTACTAAGTTTCAAGTTGATTGGAGTTCAATTTCATCCAAAAACTACCTTGAACAAAAACTTTTACCAAAAACTTATACCGGAAACTCTCACCATCATTTTCTATGTTCAATGGACCGTGAGTTTGGAGTCAAAAATCTAATTTGGCAATTTAATTAGAAAGATCATACCATAGGGAAGTTTCAAGTTGATTGGACTTCAACTTCATCAAAAGTTACCTTGACCAAAAACTTTAAACTGAAGTGGGACATACGGATGCACAGACCAGAAAACATAATTCCCCTTTCTATCGTAGGTGCAGCATGAAAAGTTGCTGATGCCAGTCAGTCGAATCATATATATATATAACTATCTAAATAGAAATCTGATGTCTCATTGGTGTTTTTTTAGAAAGACAAATTGGCTCAAATGGTTTTTGCAATTTCACTTTAACCTATTTAAATTTGTCATTTTGTGGCCGTTTTATAGCTGACTATGCGGTATGGCCTTTGCTCATTGTTGAAGACTGTACAATGACCTATAGTTGTTAATTTCTGTGTCATTTATGGAGAGTTGTGTCATTGACAATCATACCATATTATAAGTTCATAAAATATTTTTAGTTTTCTACATAAATTTGGTAAACAAAATTTAGTTAAGTTCATCTGCAGTTAGTTCTCTCCTGATAGTTGTTATAGTTTCTTCCCTTGATGCATCAACAGAATCATCAAATGATTTGTTCTTCCTACTCATTCTAGAAAAGAAACTTGTGATTTGCTGTACAGAAAGGATTTCATCATATGAAAATCTTCTATTTCCATCTTCTTTTCTCTCAGTCAGCATTTCCTGTGATACCAAAAAAGGATCTTCTTTTCTTCCAGTTTTTAGACCTTTATTAAACTTTTCAGTAAGATATTCTTTTTGGTTTACATTGAATCGTTTGTTCTTCCTTTCTTCTTTCAATGCCCAGCCAAGTTCTAAATCTGAGTTGTCATCAATTCCAACTGTCAGTCCTGCTGATGAAACTTGAAAGTTGGTTGAAAAAGACTTAGACATCTTTGTAATGTAAGTCTTCTTAGTAATGTCACATCCATTACTAAACTGGCACCTAAATTCAAACTCACACTTGCCGAACATTAAGTGGCTTGACAGCTCATGAAAAGAAGAAAAAGACAGTGTGCATCCCTCATTTGCACATGTTATGGTGTTTTCTTCCTCTTCAGCTTTAAGTGGCAGTCGGTGAAAAACCACATCAATTTCACCCTCTATCTCTGAACATGAAGTATTGAGAATACACTTTTCAACGGTTGGAATATTAGATGAAGGTATTAGCTTTCCTAAAATGTAGAAAATAAAATTATATAACTTGTAATTTGAGAATACTGTTCAAACAATAATTGATTAATTGATTGATTGTTGTTTTACACTTGGTCAACATGAACTGGCTATATTGTAGCTATGGACATGAAATGTATGTGTGAAATGAATATAACTTTACTTTGAGTCTTTTTTGTGTTGTGCTGGATATATATAATCCCTGCCACATCTAGTCTGTGTCTATATTGTCAGTTGTTTTTTGTTTTGTATTGATCAATCTGACAAGAAAGAACTGTTTTTTATAGTTTGTTCTGATGTTGTACTGTTACACCACTGTCCCATGTTAGGGAGAGAATTAAATAGTGCCAGCAAACTTGTTCATTTGGATCTTAAACCTGCTAACCCACATAAAGGAAACGGTTTGCAGGAAGACATAAATAATATTTGGACACTATATTCTGACTTGGAGCAAACTAAAATATGTGAGGTTGTTTTCAACATAATCGCAAAAGACAATACTTGAATCATATATATAAAATTATGGTCTATTGACTGCTTACAGCTAACAATAGAAAATCAGTGTTTTGAGATCATAATTAGGAAATTATAAAAAGAAAAGATAAGAAAATGATGACTCCAAATGGGCTTATTGTTGAAGGACGTACAGTGACCTATAGTTGTTAATTTCTGTGTCATTTGGTCTCTTTGTGGATAGTTGTCTCATTGGCAATCATACCACATCTTCTTTTTTTATATTCATGTTTAGGGGAATTATGAAAATAATATTTATCTTTTTACCTGTGCCAACTTGGTATGCCTTCCATGCAGTAATGCCATGTGCGCTAAATGTGAAGTTACTGTAAGATGATATTGCTGGTATAGGAGTGTACTTGGTTTTCCTACACTCAGTTCCTTCTATAACACGAACTATGTACTTTACATTTTTGGCTGACTTGTCTATTGCCTGTAAATAAAGTGAAATTATTGTAATGCCTATAAGAAGAAAAATAACTAGAGCAGATTAGAACTGTTGGCTTTTTTTTTTGGTTGTAAAGCTTTACTTAAATTATAAAAACCTCATAACATAATAGATACAAAATCATAACAAACAAGAATGTGTCCCAAATACAGGGATGCCCCATCCGCACTATCATTTTCTATGTTCAGTGGACCATGAAAATGGGATAAAATTTCTAATTTGGCATTAAAATTAGAAAGATTATATCATAGGAAACATGTTTACTAAGTTTCAAGTTGATTGGACTTCAACTTCATCAAAAACTACCTTGACCAAAAACTTTAACCTGAAGCTGGACGAACAGACGAACGAACAGACGATTGAACGGACGGACGCACAGACCAGAAAACATAATGCCCATAAATGGGGCATAAAAAGAGCTCACATTGAAGTATGGGTTTTGTTCATTGTTTAAGGCCTTGCAGTGACCTATAATTGATAAATTCTATGTCATTTGGTCTCCGGTGGAGAGTTGTATCATGGGCAATCATACTGATTCTTGTTTTTATATTCATATAGAGTAATAAAGTAACTTCAGCTGTCCCATAATTGGGTCTAATTCCTTCAGCTTTTATAAAACCAAATTAGTTATTGTTGTTGCTCACTGGTTTCCACATGATTTAAATATTTTTGAAGCTGCACTCATGCTCTTCTGGATCTTTTATAATAAACCTTGATTACTGTTTTGCTTGGGGCTGACATTGTTAGATTACTGTAAACTAAGAAATTATTGTGTGCATTTGTTATTGCAATTTTTGAAGAATGAATGAAATTGCGAGATAAATTACTGCCATTTCTGCAAAAGGTGCATACAGACGTATGTTTAAAATATCAGAATGAGAGTTCTTATTAATACTATACTCACCCAGTCAAATTATTCCCATTAATAAAAACCTCGCAATAATTTCTGAATTTCAAAGTACATTTACAGCTGTAACCTTGAGATTTTTAAGACATGAAACTCATTGTTTTTTTAAAACTATCTGTACCTTTTTCATTGATTGTGCTGTAAGTACATCATGACCCTGGTTTACATATCTTCTAATAGAAGATTTGATGGTTGCGGCAGTGCGATCACATGGTCCCTTCCCATTCTGGGATTCGCAGAAGTCATATGACAGGATAAGCCCTGAATGGAATAAGAATGAAAGCATCTCTGTAGACTTGTAGCAACCAGCATTGTCAGACCATACATGAAATTTGATGTCAGTGGTGTTGATTTCTCTAATTTTGTCCATAACATCTTGGATAATACTGGCTGTTACTCGGCTGTCCTGTTAAAAGATTATAAACAAATTAAATCACAACCTTTAAACCGCTTTATAAAATACCCATTTCATAAGCATTTATCAACTACAACTGAAGTAAGAGCACAGATACTAAATTGTTTTCAGGAGACGGTATCATGTCAAGTAAATGGACAGGCATTCAAAAACAGATTTGTTTAGGGTAGTCCTACATGTACATACACTATTTGATTAATGATACCAACCCCAAGATAAAAAAAAAATTAACAAGCAAATGTTTAATTCAACATTAATTCATGATATACATGTTCACTAGTTTGTCTTTTATTTTTAGTGTATCAAATTGCATTATGAATATGATAAATGAGATAATAGATATCTCACAACCACATCGGTTTACCGACCACATTTAATCACACCAATGGCAAGATTCAATTCATTAGCCAGTGTCTTTGCTTTTTTTCTTTTATGTGATATTCCTTCTCATTGTCATGGTATGGTTCCTCTTACATATTTTAAAAATATTTTACAAGTTGTCTGCTAGGTATATTACACCATCTTCAGCTTGCTTTATTGTGTGCCTTTCAGATTTATTCTAATTTAAACTATGTTATACGTTGGGATGTTGTCTCATGTACATTTACCCTCTATTCTTTCTTTTTAATAGCTGAATTTTGCAACAAATTTCCTACTTTGCCCTACCATATATTTTTCAATATTTTATCTTTACGGTAAAAAATAATGATTTGTACATAAATATTATAGCTTATTCATGTTAAAAGTTGTACTAACCTGGGATATTTGCGTTGCAAACAAATGAACAAATCCAAGGCTACCAATGCTTCCATCATCTTTCCTACAAAAGGCTATAGATATATGCCATGGGATTCCTCTCTTTCCGAACCAATCACACTGATCTTCACGAAACTTTCGGGGCAAAAACTTCATTGCCCAGTCACATACCAGTAAAACTTCATCTGTAGGCATAGTTTCAAATAGATGAGTTTTTGCTAAGTCCTGGTTTTTACATCTTATTATGTGCTTTTTCAGGCTGAAAATATTTCTTGTTGCTTGTTGTACCTAAAAAAGAAGATCAATTCATATTTTTTTAATTTTTATTCTAAATTTAGGTATGACCAGTTAGGTGATATCTTATTCTGATCTCTGATGTCAGTTTTCTAAAATGTATGATTTTTCTTTGGTGTTTTCTGAGGGGATTAATTAAAGCAGTGTAAACATAAATCGTAGACTTTACTGTTGCAAATTCAATTAGCCTAGTGAAGATTCATTCACACTTCAAAATTGAATATTCTCTGATTAAACATATCCTGAACTAGTTGATTCTTTTTATTTAATTCATAAGTTAATAAGAAAATAATTAAATATGATACAGCTGCTCTTTCCATCTAGTCAAGTACACCTTTGTTATATTATGTAGTGAAAATTTTATGCAGAATGATAGCCAGTCAAATAGGAAGATTGATCATAAACTAACATATTGAAAAAGATAGTATTGTATTTTGAAAAAAAATGGATATATTCATATAGTTGGAGGAAATATTCAAAAGAAACTAATAAGTAACAATAATAGATAAGGGTAATGAATTTCCTTGAAGGATCAGATGTAAATGTAATCGAAACTTTTTTTTACATTTAAAGTGCTCATATAAATAATATAATTAGTTACCCTAAAATTAAGGTCATTCATCTCATCCTCTTTTCCATCTACTGAGGAAGTAACAAAGATCTTTTCTAAAGCAGCAATGGTCTCCTTCAACTGCTCACAGCTTTCACAGACCATCTGGTGATTGTGGGAACATTGTTCTATAAATGCCTCATCTTTTTCATCACTGAGGGCATACAACATACAGTGATCTGCTACTTCTCTTCCCTTTGAAATATGAATCTGAAAATATTTTAAATTAAAGAACCTTAGTGAGCGCGCTCACATACCCCACGTCCCCACATTGTCATTGGAGAAATAAAATAAGTGTAAGAAAAAAAAATTGTATAAGAAAAAAAAATTGATGTCAATATGCAAATCTACACAGTATGTCCTTATTATCTACAAAGTTTCATGAAATTCTGTTGTGTGGTTTCAGAGGAGTTGTGATGACAAACTGTTGCAAAAGTACATTGAAGCAAATAAGTTCAAAGGGGCATAACTCCTAGAAAAAAAATGAATCATAATTTCCTGTCGATATGCACATCTACATAGTATGTCCTTATTATCTACAAAGTATCATGAAATTCTGTTGTGTGGTTTCAGAAGAGTTGCAATGACAAACTTTTGCAGTAGTACATTGAAGCAAATAAGTTCAAAGGGGCGTAACACTTAAGAAAAAAAAATGAATCGTAATTTCCTGTCTATATGCACAACTACATAGTATGTCCTTATTATCTAAAAAGGTTTCGTGAAATTCTGTTGTGTGGTTTGAGAGGAGTTGCGATGACAAGAAATAGGACTGACAGACTGACGGACGGACAGACGGACTGACAGACAGACAGGTCAAAAACATTATACCCTCCGCAACTTGTTGCGTGGGGTATAATTACTGTGAAGGTATATAAAATAACAAATGAACTACATTTGTTCCAATTTTATTGGCCTAATACTAGTGGTTTGCAAATAAACTAGATGTCATCACAAACTATGCCACCAATGCTGGCAACAGCATACGTATGAGTCGCTTTTTGACTACCTCAAGGCGACACAAAAATCAAGGGTTTATTTAATTTAAATGAAATTTCTGTAATGGATGAATGCAAATCTTTATTTATATAATTTATATTATTCTGGCACCCCAACGATTAGAAAACTGAATAAAGTAAAAAACATAAAAACATATGGCAATTTCGAATTTATCACATAAATGGACTTATTTATCATTTAATTGTGTCCTAAATAAATTCTAACAAACCTTATAGTCAGTCCTTAAATACTGCTTTGATTGTAAGAACAGTGCCTGAAAACTTTTGTGGTCATCAGGTGATATAGCGTCGTAGGTCAGCAATTTGTCTAAGACATCTTGAAGGGTAATAAAGGCACGTCCTCCTTCTGCTACAAAATAATCCAGTCCTTCAAGGCTTTTTCTGACTTTAGCACCACACTGGGCAAGTATTTTGAACATCGTACTGTCACCTATTAAAAAACAGTAACAACAAGTTTAGATTGATTGATTATTGTTTTATGTCCAAGTAGCACAAATAGGGTAGATTTGATCCATTTTAGAATTCATTCATACATTTTTTCAATATTCAATGTTATTAGTCAATATGTATTCTACAAGGATAACCAGTCCTTCACCTTTCATCTGATACCTTACTATTTAAATATATTCTACACATAATTTTAAATTTACACCTATGCGAAGGAACTAACTTGTTTTAAATATGTACTTCTTTCAAGTATGTGTTTTTTAACAAGGCCTACTTCAAGTGGTGTTGCATTTTACAAAGTCTATCAAAATTATTTTTGCATAGAATTCCAGCCAAGAAAGTGCTAGGAGCCATCTTCAACCTGCACCTTGTTGAAGGTGTCATTGTGACTTTGAGATAAAGAACAGCAATATTAAAATGCACTGTTCCTTTGCTTTTTGTTTTTTGTGTGTGTTTTTTTTTTTAGATTTTGTGTCATGGATGGATACCCCATATGATATCCTTTAATTTTTCTATTTATCTATATATATATCTTTATTTGGCCTTACCTAAAAGTAAAACTTCATTTTCCTGACAGTATGCTTTGTACTGCTGTATTATGTCTGCTGAACCCATGCAACGTACAACATTAGGTAAATTGTGGACTGTTCCATCTGAAAACTTCAGTTTTTTTTCCCCAAACGGTAGATCACGGACAACATGACTGGATGTAATGAAATCTAAGAATGAGTCTAATCTTTCAGGATCTAATTTTTGTCGATGCAGTTTTTTCTCGGGAATTGGAAGTGCTGGCCCTATTTTCTTTGAATGACTGAGAGCAGCATAGTAGCGATGGGATGTTACTTCTGGTAGTAGAGACAGTAAGTCCTTGAAGGACATTCTTGAGGCAAGAACTGAAAGAACTTGTCTCCCTTGTTGCCAGGATTCTGCTTTTCTGTATGAAGTGACAATATCTTTGTACTCTGTATGATCGGTTCTGTTTTCTTCATTTAACTGCTTGGGACATTTTATATCTTCAATTACTTCATCAACATCGTTTGGAAATAAAATTCCTATTATCAATTTCATAATCTCATCAATTCTTTCTTTGTAGGTGTTTCTTGTTTTAAATGTGTAGGACTGCCATGTTTTTCTTTCTTTTTCTGAGAATTCCTGCAATCTGACTGATGACAGGAAATCATTCAAAGATGTCAAGTAGCTGCCACGTTCATAACTTCTGACTGATTGCTGCAAAGAAGTATAAAACTGATTACAATTAAATAAATGAGGAATGGGCCCATGGGTCATAGATGATGCCCCTGCTTGCATGTAACATTATAAAGGGACACAACTTGGTGAATAGTTGTCTAATCACAACTTAACAACATTTCCTTATTTTCATACAGAAGCTTTTGTCAATGGAAACTCAATGAGAAATATACAAATTCTATTTCAGATAATTGTAGTGGCAATAATATATTTTATCTTACCTCCTATAGATTTATGGGGATATGATTGGTTAATGAATTACACGTGGTGACTATATATATTTGATATAGGGTGTCCTAAAAAATACATGGTTAGTTACCATATAGGGTTAGCAACCATATAGGGTTAGTAAGGAGTTACTTCCCTTTCAAAACAAAAATGAAATCTGAATGGTTTAAACAGACGAATAAACTGATAATGAATGATTGAAATACATTCATAAAATAAATTTAAAGCTAACACGTTGTTATTGTTTTTTGTATAGACAAATGGAAGTCGGTTATTCCCACTATCTGCACATTAAAATTCTTTCAACTCTTTTTGGATGCCGTCAATATTTTAGTCCTTATACATATACCCTTGTTATTTAGTGGCAGTTAGAATTTCACCAACTTTAATTTTAAACAGCCTCTATTACAATGTACTTTGTATATAAAGGAGAATAAAAGATTGTTATACTGAAACCCCATAAAAATAAAGCGGTCTTTCTTCACTCCCGAAAAATATTATTAAGTTCTGAGTCCTGATTAGTGTAAATTCCTAATAACTGAACAAATTTAGGCGCAATATAGGATTAAACGACTTTCTAAAGGAATTTATTGGTGTATAAACTCGACCAATTCACTCACAAACAAATAAAAGTCCAAAAGACTTTTATGATATGTTTGTGAGTGACTTGGTCCAGTTTATACACCAATAAATTCCTTTAAAAATGCATTTAATCCTTATAATTCTTTGAATGTAGAGATAAGGAATTTGATTTCTCCACTCGTAACCTCTATTACACATAAATTGTAAATTTATGGCATTTTGAATTGACCTGGTGCATGAATATTTTTTTGGGTTAACACCATAAAATATACTCCATGAAATTTGTTATCTGAAAAAATTACCTAAAAGAATTTCTTATTTTCTTTCAAATAAATGTTTTGTGTTTATAATTTAATTTGACGATGAACGCTAAGTGAAAATAAATATTTTTAACATTGAACCGGTTTGTGTTATTATCGCAGCCATCTTGTTTACATTGGTTAATAAAAGTAGTTCTGTCAACGTCGTCTATCGAAAAATAAACAACGTCAAGATCCACTACCGGAAGCCCTCTCGACCAATCATATTAACGTATTCCCTAATATGCAAATCATATAAGAATTATTCCCAAATACCTGTAATAAAAATGTTACAATTCTAAAGTGCCAGGAAGAAGTCTTCCGTCCCTCATTAAAGAACTTAACAATAATATTTTTTGTTTATATGCTGTTGTCCTAAAAATGCATGAAATATTTGCCACAGGACGTAATGTCTCTTGTTTGGGTGTTTTTAAGTGATTTTTGAAACCCCAAATTTATAATAAAGAACCTGAAAACAAGTTTATGATTTCAAGAGCTTTTAAAAAAGTCAGAACTGTTGAAAAAAATTTGAAAACACCTCTGCAAGAAGCCAGTCCTGCATTATCCTCATACATGTTTAATATAGTAAGGCATCACAGCAGTTTATTAGTACATGTACAAAATAATTTACTGAGTAAACGATTAATTTAACTGTACTAAAGTGTTTATTTTCACTCTAAGTATGCATCAAATACTTGCCACTAGACATTACGCAGGCAACGGTAAAGAATTATGTATATGTTGATAATCAATCTTGCATAAATACAAACAACTGGCGTTGAACAATGTAATGCTTATACATTTTGAATGTTCTTCTTTTAATTCTGTTCCCTTTTAATTTCCGGTAATTGTGCCTAAAATATATACTTCAGGATTCATGTCTTTTAAATGCGGCTTTTATTTCTGTTTTGAGTTGTCACATTGATCGTGTTTAAGTGTTAATGATATAAACTTCAACCAATGACAAGTGATAGAATACTTATTTTGAGGATTTTACTTACTTGTGACTGGGATAAATAATTTTGACTTCCTGACTCTTCTGATGTAACTGTATATTCAGATGCTGAAATTTCAATCTGAAAAATAATGATGTATTTTGTTTACATTTTTTGAAATCCTGAATGTGCTAAATGCATTAACACATTTTTAGTTTTCAAACTTAATTAATTACTATAGAAATAAAATGTACAGATTTTTTAAATGTTATGGTCTGTATACAGTATATAATTTTTGCACTAAACTAAATTCCAACCTTGTGTTAACTTAGAAAGTTTTTACCACCGTCATTGCATTGTTTTACATTTGTCTTTTGGGGGCCTTTTATAGCTGACTATGTGATTATGGGTTTTGCTTATTGTTGAAGACCTTACAATGACCATTTGCTATTTACGTCGATGTCTTTTGGTCTCTGGTGGAGATTTGACTCATTGGCCATTATACCACATCTTCTTGTTTTCGTATGAAATGTGCCCAAAAAATGATAAATATGTTGTTCTTGTGTTGAAATAATGCAAATGACTAAAATATCCTTTACCTTGTTATAATTGTCTCATATTTTAGGGACCCCCCCCCCCCCCCCCCCAAAAAAAAAAAAAAAACAAACATCAATTATATCTAAAAAGACACTAGCTGTGCTTACAAGATTATCACAAATATTTTCTTTTTCTGTTAACATATCCAACTCGTCAGTCTCCATGAGATAGGTTTCATCATCTGTATTCAAGTTTGTGCATTGCTGAATCTGTTTAATACAAATATAAAATCAGTATATTTTTTATACTATTGATAAGAATCGTATTGGTTATTCAATGTTTTTGGGTACATCCTGTCAACATTTATTTTCTTTTTTGGACTGCTTTATATTTTATTATCCAGGGGCCCTTGCCCTTGATAGCCTTTCCATACCAAAAGAATTGTTTTCATTGCAAAGCCATACAGTGACCTGCATTTGTTCATATCTGTGTTCTTTGGTGGGTAGCTGTCTCATTGCCCATCATTCAAAATCATCCTCTATGTAGAATTTATATTGAACAAACATACAGTCAACCAAGCATAAACATATATGCCAAAGACCTATATCTTAGCAGATTATGGTGCAATGTGTCTGTTGTATACAAAATTGTTCATAAAGTTGATACTGGTGTCAGACAGGTTTACAAAGTAAAAAGTCTGAGTCTATTTTTTTATTATTTTTTGTTCCAGTAAATTAGGTAAGAGTTCATTGACCCTATATGGAATTTGTATAAAGTGTATTTTACTTAGCAGTTATGGTTGATATTCATTGGATTTTTTTTATCCATATTTACATAATGATTTATGATTATACAGCTTGCTGTACATGTAAATTTAAAAATGGAAATAAATTCACAGATACTCTGATTGTTAAAACAATATTTTGTTTGCCTTACCTGGTCATCTTCACACTTTCCTTGATCCAGACTTTCAGCTTCTATCTCTGTGGACTGCTTGGAAATTTTAATAAGGCAGCTAGTGCATGCAGCTGAAAAAAGAAGCATTGACTTGACATAGGCTGTATTGATCATTTGGAAATGTGCTTCTTAAATTTTTTTTTGAAAGGGCATATGGGTTGTTTAAATATATTGGATTTTTTCTCATATGGGTCCGATCATTCCTGAAAACTTACATATATACATGTACATGTACATGTATATGGTTAATAGAAACTTTACAGCAATGGTTATGTTTATATTGAGATTGAAAAGATCAAAACACAGTTTCTACAGACATCTTACATGTAACAGAAAAGATCAACATGTTCATGTGTATGACCTATTGAATGTAAATTGCACCCCACTGATATATGACATTCCAAAATGTAACCCATATCAGCAGCTCTTCTAGCCAAGTCTGTGTATTCTTTTAGTTTTATATATATACATAAATAAGTACCTCAAGTGTAGGATCCTCCCCTCATTAGGAAGCTTCCATTTGATTTTTATGGGGTTAAGGATAAAATTAAAAAAAAGGCAGGACAGGAGCATCAGGAGTTTTGAGGAAAAAAAGGCAGGATGAGGAACTTTGTCAAAAAAAGGCAGGATGACAAATAATGTAAAAAAAGTCAGAATAAAACTAATAAAATAATAAGACAGGACCCATTATCTAGATAGAGTGAAAAATAAAAAGGCAAGACAGAGATAATATCAGATTACAACTAAAAGAAGTGCAGGACAAAATCTCCACCCCCCTAAAAATTCAAATGGTAGCAAAAAGGGGGCTCTTTTGTATTTCTAGAGTGTTATTTAAAAAAATATTAAACAGGCAATTGGAAATTAAAAAAAATAAACAGTCACATATAATTTAGTTTTTAACTTACGTGTTCCAATAGGAAGTGTGAGGCCATAACACTTCTGAATTTTCTCTACGTCATTGATGGTGATATTGCGGCTAGGCTTTGGCTTTTTAACACCAACAACAGAATGTGATGCTACTGGAGGATGAGCACTTATCAAAGTAGGAAGCTGACATACTTTTCTCCTTCTCAAATCCGAGTTTCTTTTCAATAATTGGTTAAAATGGGTTGAGCATATATAAAAATCAGTAAAATTCTTTGGCAAAAGACCAGATTCAGTTAAAATTATATTTTTGTCATTGCAATCACATGTGTTGATATCAGTTACATCATCAGAACACTCATCTGTAGTGCAGTTTGTGTTAAAATTGCAAACCATTTCGTGTGTCTGCTGCTGAAGCTGCTTTCATTTTCAACATAAACAACAAAAGAGTTGTACTAAGGGAAATAACTCTAGTAGAAGTTTGCACTCCTGATAGCAAATTTCTATATGACCAAGGTGAATTATTTTTCTTATTTGAAATAACACATATCTGATTTTTGGCATATAAAAACTATTATGTGATAACTTTGTATTCTGTTAATTTCAAGGGATTTTATCGGTGCATTTTGAAGAAATACTAAGTTGGACTTTAAAGGTTTCTACTGTAAATTTCGGAAAATGAATTTTATAGTTACCATGGCAATGAACATTACCATATTTTTTTATTATGACCAATATGTTTCTACATCACTAAGCATTCATTTAAAAAAGTTTTATGAAAATCTGTGACCACTGGTTTCCATCATATTTTGATGCTTACAGAGAATGGCTCTTAATAACCAGAATGTTTGCCAAAATGCAAATTTCAATAGGTTTCATACTTGCATATATGTGCTATTAACTTTTGAAGACAAATTTGTATGTTTCTGTCAAAATTGCGCATCTCTTTTTCTGATCCTGAGGTTCAAGCAACTTAAAAATGAAAATAACTCTTCATAATATTGATTGATAGATTGTTGGTTGCTTAACGTCCAGTGGCAAATATTTCATGCATATTCAGGACGATCATAATATAGATGATTCTTTGTTAAATTAAACTTCATCAAGTACGATCAAAGGCAATGATTTAAAAGCCCAGGATGTAAAAGTACCTGAATACATAAGGAAGTATATGACAAAAAAATAAATACTAAACAAATAGCCAAATATATCTAGGGTCAGTTTAGTCAGAGAGATTCCCCACCTTAGTGAATTTATCATATCAAACATAATCAATATAGAGTTTCAAAAAAGCATGTTTTACATCATATCAATACTCAAGAACGGACTACTGAGGTGATGATATCCTCGCGGACTAACAGTTCTTCAACAGTGATATCGACCCAGTGCAAGGGTTCAAGGGTTCAAATCCCGCTGAAGGAAGAACAAAAATTTGCGAACGCAAATTTACAGATCTAACATTGTTGGGCTAAATTTGAGAAGAATTATATACATAGTATGGTGTTAGCCCTGTATAAATACGGGTTATCCGATGGAGAATGTCTGTCATAAAGTTGTCACATGTTTAGGCGTATATATATATATATATATATTATAATAAAAATAATATCACAATTTCATGTGCCGTGGCATGGTAAATTCATTACCATTCTTTAAGACGGACAAAACATAGCTTATCTGAAATAAAGGCAACAGTAGTATACCGCTGTTAAAAAAACCCGCTGAAAGATATACCATCCTACTTGCCTTTATACATCATGTACTGTGTTACACCCCTAGGTAAAGCCGATGCGGAAAGGCATTACTCGACTAACGAAAGCTATATTTTATAGCCTAGTTGGTCGAGTGGTCTAGGGCGCGGAGGTAAGGCACTCAAAAATGCGTCTAATAGCATATACAATGAATAATGTACAATGAAATAATATACACATAAGACAATATCAGAGTTAAAAATTGATACCCTTTAAAACAAGTCATCTTTCATGAAAGACATAACAGCATTATATACGATAAAATCTCAACATTTAAAGTTCACATGAATTTAATCGCACACGCAAATCACAGTAAGCTTAATTTTCTAAAAATCGAAGACTGTAAGTGAACATTTCTCTCAACAGCTTTTTTCTTCAAATGTCAACATGTTTACTAATTTTAAATAATTGGATCAATATGATAAAAATATTCACCAAGCAATATGTTTATTTTTTCGAAGGACGGTAACTCTGTGAATCAAAATTCGAGGAAGATAGTATTTAGGTACTCATTGATATCAGCAAATATCTTGTTTCGTATTAAGGTATGTGCTAGAAAATGGCTTGACGCTTGGAAATTATAATGTTATTTTAATTTTTAAAAAAATAAAATAACAAAAATACCGAGCTCCAAGGAAAATTCAAAACGGAAATTCCCTTATCAAATGGCAAAATCAAAAGCGCAAACACATCAAACGAATGGAAAACAACTGTCATATTCCTAGCTTTATACAGGCATTTCAGAGTCGGATAAAGAATAGTAAAAACTTGGTTTTTTTTTAAATAATTCTATATTTCAAATAATTCATAAAAGATACCATTATTCCCAAAACAAAATGAAATATTTACTATTAAAACGTTTCTGTCCATTTATAAAACATAAATATTGTGAAAACCAGACAACTTTCATAAAACCTAGACGTGACTAAAAAAACAGATAACTATCATAAGATAACAAAATCAAAAACAGTTGGCCAAAATAAAATTGAACACATATCAATATACAGAAAAGTAGATATGTTTCTCATTAACGACAAAAGATTAACTAAGGTTCTAAGGAAGGTGAGCATTTCCCGCTTTATTACTCTTGGTATCTTTTGTGTTGTTCATGTCAATATAAGACATGAAAAATAGTTTAAAATTATATTTTCCATAAAATAAAAGAGAGGCGAAAGATACCAAAGGGACATTGAAACTCATTAGTCGAAAATAAACAGACAACACCATGGCTAAAAATGAAAAAGACCAACAGGCAAACTATAGTACACAACAACAACAAAATTTGGGAGTGATCTCCTGTGCCATAACCATACTATACCTTCCCCCTTACTGAATTTTCCATAAAGTTTTTTTGTTTTTTATACTTCATACAAAACATTTCGGATAAGTATCTGTACACGTTGGAGAAGTAAAAAAAGAAATTTGCAGACTTTACGCAGATAAAATCAACATTGATGCATATCCTGTTCCCTAATTTTGTCACAATGAAATGTGTGTGGTTTACATTTTATTAAGCAGTTATGTATGAATACATGTATGTAACTATATTTAAAAGAATAAAAGAAAGAAGGAAGATACTAAACAAATATTCTCACCCTGACAAACTGACAGTGCCTTGACAAAAACGAAAAACGTCCAACAACAAACAATAGTTTATTGAGGATCACGAACCCTACCATAAAAAAGCGACCGATACCTTAGCATTCACAACTTATAAATCGAAAACACAACTGACAACGCCATGGCAAAATACAATCCCCTAGGCGACTAAAGATTGAGCAACACGAACCCCACCAAACATTGGTGGTGAACTCATGTACTATGGAACAGTTAGGAGTTCATGATTCACATGATTCACATGTGACATGCGTCGTGTCGCTCAAATACAAATCCAATGATACTGTCACAAAGTATAAAATTGGAACATAATTCCATAACGGTAAACATTATCTCTCTATGGATGTCTGTTACGGTACATTTTCTATGTAAAGTTAAAATCAAGAATTTGTCATTTATCTACATCAAATGTTATTAAAGAAAAAGTTTTTTAAAAAGGACAAAAACACATTTAAAATAAATGAAAATAGTAATTCAACTGCCTTAAATTTCTGCTTAGAAGAGTATTTTGTTCATATTCAAAATAGAACTTCAACTAGCAATATCTTAATGAGCAATTACAAGTCGATAAATTCATTTCATCGATAGATACCTTCTTTAGCGATGGACGAGCCATAATACTATTTGACAATCAAAACATGATACAGACAACACCGCGTACAAATGTTTATTATTTCATTACATACTTTAAGGTTTGTTAATTAAATTGTTATATCCTACGGGTGACACACAGACATTTCCTTGTACAAAGTGGTTACGTAATTATAAATTGAAAGCATGTAAAATAGTGCATCATTAGAACACATGGAATAATTAAAATTCAGTATAGCTGTATATTACATGCATTGTTTGAGAAACGATAATGTTATGAATAACAATTTACTGTTCTTTATTAGTCATTATAGTTAGAGAGAATGTGGAAAATATGTGAAAGGGAGGCTGATATTTCTTTTCCATAAGTGTGCAATCGGAAATACTTCGTCGTGGCTGCACATTGAAGACTCTCATACAATTAAAAAGCTGTTTTTATATATGTTGGCGTTTGTTTTTGTAGCAGTTCAGTGTTTCTGTTGTTCCGTTTTGTTTCCTCTTATAGTTGATGTGTTTCCCTCAGTTTTAGTTTGTGACCCGGATTTGTTTCAGTTAAATCGATTTATGACTATTGAACAGCGGTATATTACTATTGCCTTTATTTATGACAGAACAAGAAAAAAACTAATAACCCAACGTATTCCTTCAGATTTATTTCCGATTTATTTCTCATTTATATAATATAACGTAAAAACAAAAATAAAGATATCTATTAAATGGTTTAAGACTTCATAAATGGCTATAAATTAGAGCACTTTTCAAGGAAACATAATGAATTTGTAACTGTAGGCTTCATGAATGTATTACCACATATCTGATGTATTGAATATATAAGCCAAGGATAGTATCAAATTTTGTCCTATTTTGTTTTACATTTTAAAAATGTTTGTCATTTTTCTCTTTAACATATAAATACATTTTTGTTGTCATATGAATAGTGAATACTAATCAAGCTTTTTCCGTAATAGTAATGACATAATATTCCTTTAAATTTAGTCCAAGGTGAAGATGAAGATGATGAAAGACCTAGACAGACAGACAACTTCTACCCAAAGGAAATAATGCTATTTTGGTTTCACGGCGGCTGTTGAAAAATATAACTTCATCAATAAGATTAGAGCACATGCAATATATATATATAATATATATGGCCTTGAACGTTTATTTTGAGGAATATCTTTGAAAATAATCGAACTTTTTTATTATTTGTGTTAACTCTTCTGGAAAACTAATCTTCCGATCGAAATATATTCAGTTGAAATAGTTGTAATATATGGTATAATAATTTGATTTACGGTTCTACGTATAACAATTAAGATTTATCCACTGGAAGGTAAAGGTAAATAAGAGTCGACAGTTTTCCCCTATGTTCAAATCTCGTAGATACATTTAAATGAGAAACACAACGGGTGCCACATGTGGAACAGGATCTGCTTACCCTTCCGGAGCACCTGAGATCACCCCGAGTTTTTGGTGGGGTTCGTCTTGCTCAGTCTTTAGTTTTCTATGTTGTGTTTTGTGTACTATTGTTTGTTTGTTAGTCTTTTTCTTTTTTAGCCATGGCGTTGTCAGTTTATTTTCGACTTTTGAGTTTGAATGTCCCTTTGGTATCTTTCACCTCTCTTGAAATATATAAATAAATTAAAGAAATATGAAGGAATCACATGAACGCAAAATGCAGTGTGACAGGATAATCGTATATTATGCATGCATCATCCACCATGCGAATCCAGAATTGTCATTGAATTCATTCACCATCGGAATCCACACTCAGTGAATTGTCATTGAATTCATCCACAATCGGAATCCAGACTCAGTGAATTGTCACTGAATTCATCCACCATGTGAATCCAGACTCAGTGAATTGTCATTG